CTTCCGCGCAAAGTGCCTCGCGTTCGGCGACGGCGCGGGCGAGCGGACGGGCGGCGATTACGATTTTCTTAACGTAATCCGTTGACCGGTCACACTCCGTCATTAACGCCGTCGAAATAAAACGTTTATATTGCGCCGCACGCGGCAAAAAGCGGTGGTTATCGTAACGGACCGGTTCGCGCGCGGCGATTTGCTCGCTTCGGCATTACGATTCCCGACGATCGCACGATTATAGTCGCGTTATCCTCGGCGCGTCGAGGATAGTAGTTATACACCGCGAGGAAGACGCGCTTTTATCAGCGCGCGATCCTCGCCACGGACATACCGCGCTCCTTTCTTTCTTTTTTTCCCCTTTTCTTTAGGGTGTACCGTCGATTAAATCATACGGCGGAAGGACCCCGCTTTACGACGCATGGAGAGGCCGAGGTGTTATTACTCTCCTTAACGCAGCTTCCGAGCAGAAATTCCGGGGCGCGCCCGTAGCAACGCCGAAAAAGATGATTAATAACGCTCGCGGCCACCGAGAAGCGCCGCGATATTACGCGCGGGGATCAGTCACACGCCGCTTCCTACCGGCCAAATTCACGGGGTTCGTGACGGTGGGACATTAAGTGTGCAACTGCCGGGGCTGCTCGCGTACAAGCTCGCTCGGCGCGTCGTAAAATTTCGAGGAAAGTCGCGCGCCGCATCTCCTTTCACTTGTCCGTCAAACACCTCGTTAGACGCGTTACCATTAATGCGAACGGATTAAATTATTATGGATGTAACATGGAAGTGGAATTTACGTGCGCGCGTTTTAATAAAGATTATCAATGATTTCTAAACGATTACGTCCAATCGTTCTTGAATTTCCCTTTAAATCAGACTTTTTCGAATTTTTTTCCGCAAAATTCAGATGCAAAAGCCCTCCCAGGTAGCGCGAAGGATCCAAGAAGAATTCTTGAATTCCTGAGTTATGAGATTCGTTTTTCTTCCATTCCATTTCTACAAACATTCTTAAAGTTTATCACATAATAGGAAAGCACAAGCAATAGGAATAAGAAATAGAAATGCGGAATAGGAATGTAATGCCGAAACACAATGATTCGTTGGCAATAGGAGTGCTGTCCAATCATCTGCTTTCTGAAGCCACGTACCTGTCCCAGAGTCTCAACTGTGATTGGTCAGATACGGGGAATAGGGAACAGAAATCCAACGTGTCGAAAATTCTATTCTTATTACCTATTCCATATTTCATTGTGCGTCGATACACGGTTTTTGGAATTTAGTTATTTCGGTTGTCTGTGCTTTCCTATTGTGTGATAGGCTTAAGAGTTTACGAAGAATTTGCTTTTATGTCACCAATTTTGAGCTCTTTGTCGAATACAAAAGGAATTCTTTGTATTCCAAACAACTTTAATTTATTTCCATAAGTAGTCAAAAGGTGTACTTCTGCGGGACTCATGTTAAACTACTGGAAAGGAATTTTGTTGAGTTGAATGGATCAAGGAAATTAATAAAAGAATTTTTAACGAATTCCTTTTGATCGCATTTTCTAGTTTGTCGCTCTTCTAGCGCCGTAATAAAATGCATCGGAGCAGGATCTCCTTGTATGTACAACAGATGCGTACATTTGGGCGGATTTCTTACCTCCTTCTGAAAATGAATGCGTGCGGATACGCGCGAAAAAAGGAACGTCCAGAAGGCGCACGGAGGAAACGTGTTGCAGCATGCGTCGCAAGTTTGCCGTGTGCGTGAGAAGACAGTTGTTAATGCCGGTTAACAATTAATAAAAGAAGCTACTGACAGGAGGGATACGGTGCTCGCGTGAGAGCGCACACGGGAAGCCTTCGAAAATTCGATGTTCATGTTCACCATCGGCGGTGCGAGCTTACGTGATCGCGCGCATTTTTTCGAAGGGCGTACGAGCGACGTTCGGCATCCGCGGAAAGAAGAAGAAAGGGGGAAAAAAGGAGGCGCGCGGTGCAAAAGGAGAACGGCAGGAGCACGTCGTAGAAAACGCATGCTCCTCGTTCGGATTCACGCCTCGGTAGGCCCGGCGCGCTGTGGCCGCGCACGCAACATAAAAGTTTCCAATTATAATGCACGGCATGATACTTCATTTCGTCCGTCGTCAATTAAAAGCCACGAAACGCCCGACGGCGGCCATCGCTACCGAGTAATTTGCGCGCCGGTAGCGACGGACTATCCTCTGGAAGAAATGCCTGAAAGAAAGAGTGAGAGAGAGAGAGAGCGAGAACGAGCTTATTATCGAACATTCTGCCGTGGGCCTCATCGAGACATTGTACAATCGGGAGCATTAATGTCGTCCGGACCGCCTGTCGTTCGCAAAGAGATTTTAGGATACACGCAATCCGCTCCGATTGTTTTATGAAGTAAAATAATCCGGTTAGGATGGAATTTTAATTGGTAGGCGAAAAGATGCGTTGCTCGAATGTTATAGAGAAACCCGACCGCTCCGAGTATGAGCGTGTACCGCTCGATATTAATACTACCGATTCTACTGACGAAGAACGTTGCACGTAACATCCAGAGAGAGAGAGAGAGAGAGAGAGAGAGAGAGAGAGAGAGAGAGAGAGAGAGAGAGAAAGGTGAATGTCTTCCGATGAGATAATTGCGCAGAAAGCGATCACAGTTGCGATTTGCAATCGTAGCGTTTACCCCCCCCCCCCCGACAGCGTGAATTTATAACAACTACATCTTCATTCAAATAATAAACTTAAACCGAAATGAATTCACTATTATCTCTTGTTAGCAAACCTGGAGGCTCGCGTTGCGACAATAACTGATAATTATCTAAATAATTAATCGTTGAGTGAGCAATATCGTATTTGTCACGTGATATCAAAGATATTAAACGGCAGTTACGTAGGATACAAATGAGCACCATCTAACACTTGTCAAAATATTCTTATACATTCAGCGTGCGTCTTAAAGAGTCTTTCAAAAGTGTAGCGTTGCAATCAATTTAATTTTTTTTTCTATTTAAGGTGGCTCCTGCACGAAGGAGCGGTTAGTATGGGTGCTTTGGTGGGGCCCCTTTGATTTTTATAAACCCATATGACTTTTTTCATTAAAAAATATCACTCAGTGTATTATTGATCAAAATACAACTATAATATTTTTTCTTTATTTTATTTCATTGGCGACCGGGTCTGAAATTTCGCGTACTGATAGATCAAATTTACAACTGCAACATATTTAAATTTCAATTTTTTTCTACTTTTGGTCGGTTTATGCAGGAGCCACCTTAACAGACGTTACGATTGATTCGCGAGAAAGGCACGCGCGCGTCTCGTTTGCGATACGTATCAGATATAAATTTATATAATTTCCTCGGCAAATGGCTCGTCCGCCCGTCGCGTCTCAGCCTCCGTTAAACGCCCGAGTTAATTAACAACGTCGCGGATCAATCGATTGAACAAGGGTGGTCTCGTTCGGGCGCGAGATACATTTATCATCTTTACCGTAATATTTATCGGAAGGGACACGAATAACGAGGCGGCGCGGGCCCGTGTATAACGAGCGTCCGCCGCGAGGCGATTACGGCCCTCGGGGATGCTTGAGCGGCGATTAATCGTTAAAAATTGCGGTCTATCTTGATCCCCGATCGAAATGTGCGGCGCGCATGCGAGCGACCGTATTAACATACGGCATTAGATATTCCGCATGCGAAGCTCGCGCTTACGGTAAAGCGCGGCCGGTATTCGCACAGCTTTACTTGGATTTCTACAGTAATTACACGCGCGGTAATGGGAAACCCTCGCGCGGCCGTCGATACGGTTAGCGCGAAAGCTCAGATCGCGCCTGGGACAAATGGCGTCGAACGATAACGATAATGACGATAACGCCGTTTAAAAGTGCGCAGAACGTAACCGGTGCATCGATATCCGATAACTATTGACAATTGCGAGGAGCGGAGGAGCGTGCGGGAGAAAAAAAAATAGAAATACGAGAGAACTGCGACGTATGAAAGCAACACGCGACGCCAGTTAACGTATAAACGATTGGCACACGCCTAATGGGGCGCGACGAAATAACGCAAACGTGCGTAATCAGCGTACACGAGGAGCGATTAATTCAATTTGCCGATGCATATTGAGCGACGTGGTGTGAAAATACGGAAGCTATTTCCCCGATATTGTAAATCGTTCGTTTAGCGTTAGCCGAGCTCTCACCGTAGATCAACCGTGAAAAAGCACACGGCGCGGGTACAAGGATAGTGCGCGGCGGTTTAGCCTTTAGCGTCGCGTCGCACATGGCGGCTTCCAATTTTTGCGACAAGGAGAGACGGAAATCACGGTGTTGCACATTCGCCGACCATAACTCCGCGCGCATGTTAACTTCCTCCATTTACTTCGTAGCCGAGTATACACACTATACGTTATACACATACGTGTGGATAGGCGTGTACGCGCGCGTCTATGCGTACACGTGTGCACATACATGTAATAATTATAAAACATTATGTAATGTTATAATAATTATAGGGCGGAGCGGGACTATTTCGCTCAGGTAAAGAACGAAAGGATATAAATTCGGGTAGAAAATTTTCGAGACGAAAAGTCGAAAAGCCTCCTCCCTGTCGTGAAAATTGAAAAGCCCTTCCGCGTCTTGAAAATTATTTATCAGATTGTTATCTTTGGCAAAATAGCCCCGCTCTACATTATATAACATTATGTAATGTTGTAATAATTATATAATGTTATATGTATATTATAGACAAATTTGTACACCGAGAAAAATGTTCGATTAAATATAATTGGATAATCCAATTACATAATAACAAACGGATATATCCGATGAAAAATGTGGTCGGTTTTTCAATCACATTTCATCGGTAACTGCGTTTCAGCGGATAAATTTTATTGGATGTATGTGGATACACTTAAATTGTGGAATTTAATCAGAAAATGTAATCGGAAAAATTAACCATCGGAAGCACTATTTAATTGGTTTATTCGACGAAAATTTTTCTCATTGTAGTCATATAAAATGTATACAGTCATACAGAGATTGGATATTATTTTTTTCATAAGTTTCCGCCAAAGTTTAGCATTTAATGTATATAACTACTTTTGTAGAAAAAAAGGTGATGCAGTGATTATTGATCACTGTCTTTCCATTAATTATTTAAACGTAATGCGCTTGTATCACACGTTGTTACGTACGTGTCTGTAAAAAAGTTAATTTTTTCAAGTTTATTTTATGGAATAATGGCTTCTTTTGAAATGAAACACTCGATAAAAAGGAGAAAACAGCTTGTGCAAATATCGACGAATACGTATGCAGGATCTGCCTGTCTATACGATCGTCGTTTGTATTCAAGCAGAAAAAAATTTGATTCGTATGTTGGTTAATAGGTATTTAACACTGGGAATGGTCCGGACTTTAGGCTCTCGCGAAACAAATTCGTGTGCGTGTCCATTTCCTGAACTCGCCCCGGCGACTTTTTTGCCAGTGTACGTAAAGCAAGACCCCGTACGGATAATATAAGCGATGAGGTGCAGGGAAAGTGCTAAGCTATTATAGCGCGGAGTATATAAGGCTCAGCTTAGAAAACGAAGCGGTTCAGTTAGTGGTCATACGCCACGCTAAAACATACGTGAACTCGAGAATGAATATCAAGGTGAGTCGAATACATCCGATCAAATTAAACATCAAGTATCATTTTGTAACGTGAGATTGGAGTATTTCTGAAAAATTGCCTCGCAAAGTGATTTGTTCTCAACTCAAAGTAGGACACAATATTCCACGTCTAGTATGTTGTAATATTTTTGCGCAATCTGACATCTTTCAATTTTCATATTATGTATTATTTGTCCATTATATAAATTTTATCGCGACATTATTTTGACGTGACTTCAGCTTGCCATCATTTTGGTGGCAGTGGCCACTCAAGTTGTATGCGCGGAGGATTCGAGCAAAGCGAACAAGGGCTCGCAGAATACCGAAGCGGAGCCAACGGAGAAGAAGACGGAAAAACGTGGACTCCAGCATAGTTTCGGTGACATAGGCAGTGTCGATCTGCACGGTGGCGGCGGCGGCGGCGGCGGCGGTGGCGGCGGCGGTGGCGGTGGTTACGATGAACACGAGCATGTGAAGACGGTGACGGTTGTAAAGAAAGTGCCAGTACCTTACGAAGTAACGAAGCACGTACCCTATCTGGTGGAGAAGCACGTACCGTACGAGGTGAAGGTCGGCGTGCCGCAGCCCTACACCGTCGAAAAGCATGTGCCCTATCCCGTGAAGGTGTTCGTCAAAGTGCCGGTCCACGTGCCGCAGCCGTACACCGTCGAGAAGAAGGTGCCGTATGAAGTGAAGGTGCCGGTGGACAAGCCTTACGAGGTCAAGGTATACGTGCCACAGCCCTACACCGTGGAGAAGCACATACCGGTGCCGGTGAAGGTGCCGGTGCCGCAGCCCTACACCGTCGAGAAGCACGTGCCCTTCCCGGTGAAGGTGAAGGTGCCGGTGCCGCAACCGTACCCGGTGGAGAAGCCGGTGCCGTACGAGGTGAAGGTACCGGTCGACAAGCCGTACCCGGTCCATGTGCCGAAACCGTACCCGGTCACCGTGGAAAAGCCGTATCCGGTGCCGGTCGAGAAGCCGATACCGTACGAAGTGAAGGTGCCAGTCGACAAGCCGTACCCGGTGCACGTGGAGAAACCATATCCGGTGCCGGTGAAGGTGCCGGTACCGCAACCGTACCACGTCCACAAGCCAGTACCGGTGCCGGTGGAGAAGCCGGTCCCTGTGCCGGTCAAAGTGCACGTCGACAAACCATACATCGTCGAGAAAGAAGTTCCGGTCCCGGTCGAGAAGGAAGTACCGGTGCCGGTTAAAGTTCCAGTAGCCATACCCGTTCACATACCGAAGCATGAGGATTACGGCGATCTGGGCGGATACGGTGGCGGCGGCGGCGGCGGATATGGCGGCGGCGGCGGCGGTGGATATGGTGGATACGGTGGACACGGCGGCGGCGGCGGCGGTGGCGGTGGATACGGTGGATATGGTGGCGGCGATGGGGGCGGTTACGACTTGCACGGTGGTTTCAGTGGCGGCGGTGGCGGTGGCGGTGGCGGCGGTGGCGGTTACGACTCGATTCACGGCTGATCATCGCGACGACGAAGCGGAGAGCGGACGCGCGAGTAGCGAGGCGAACGTCGAGAAGCGTCTTTACTTTTAATCGCCCTCATCCCCTCGATGTTGGATGATCGCGCGTCCGAATCGAGATACTTTTCGCCGGATTAGTTTGCCAATTCTCGAAAAGTAACGTTGAAATTTTAGCTGCTTAAGCAAAGATCCTTTGCCCCGAGGTAATTAGCGAATTAGGAGAGAGAAATACGCAGGCGACAATTCGCCGTCGCAAATTGACGAGTTTACCGACTCTCTGTACTTGCGCTATACTTTCCGGAAGTCCAGGTAAACGTAGCGGCTATTCGGTAATGCTCTTAGACTGCGTATTATAGTTGAATGGCATCGATTAGTCTATGAATTGCGTTCTCCGCGGCGCGCGGATCGCGCACATTCATCGATTAACATATTCTAAAGAAATATGTTCTGCATAATCTAAATGCCCCGAAAAGACCCGCACGGCGTACGTGCGGGGTTTAACGCGCATAATTCGGTTTAATCCGTTACGTCCACGCGTAGTATTGCTGTGAGATATGTATACTGACTAGAAACGTTGTACCTAAGTAAGTTAAGTGAAAAACTCGCATTGTAAAAAGAATATACGTATCTTTTTATATACAAGGTTTAATAAACATTCTGCCCATTACGCCTTACTTTTCTCGATCCTTATCTCGAACAGCGGATCTAAAATCTGGATCTCCTCTTATCCCACGGAACGAGATGGAAGGCGAGATAACGCGGAGAGATAAAATCATACACACACAACGTCCGTTACGGTGTATGACGCGCAGATTCATCGCTAACCGTATCAAACACGTTGCGCGCATATGAACGCGAGTATAAATCAACGTCAGGATTCACTTTCTCGAGAAAATTTCGTCGACTGTTGAGCGAGAGTTTCGCTCTTCTAAATTCATTGTTCCCGTCGGCGAAGAAACGGCGCGCCGCGTTATCCGGCGCGTTCACGACGTTGCGAGAGGAGAAGGAGAGGAAAAAAAAACCAAGATTCGAGAGTAACGAATAAGAAATTCGCCGACCGAAATCCAAAAGGTACAAGAGTCGCTCGTACATTACGGCGACGCTTTCCGCGTTTGCCTTCCGGTTTAGCTGGCACCGGTAAAAGCCATTATTGACATATTAGTCTGTCGAGAGATCGCCGAGTCCCCCGGGCGCAGAAACGCAAAAATCGCGTGCGCAAAAAGGAAGGGGGAGGTGTATCCGTGCCTCGAGAGACAGAAGCTGCGAACTTCCGCAAACACTTTCGATTCCCGTGCGAATCTTAATCCTCGTGCCCGGGCCGCAATTAAGAGCACCAGATACACGCGCCGCGTTGCGTTCAAGAAAGCATTACTTTCTCCGTCGGGGCCATCGAGCCTGGCCGGCGTACACACGCAAAACATCGTCGTATCCCAACGCGCGCGTCTACGAGACATCCGAGAGCCGCGATCTCGCCACTCCTTTCACCGAGTCGATCTTTCCCCGATTGAATTTTGCTAGGATACTCCGTTAATTTTTTTTCGCCGCTTTTACAGCACACGAGCCGTGCGAGGCGCGACGCGCGTCGTTTTAATTTACGCGGGTGCCGCCGGTAAAACTCGTCCTGTTTCGGCCGGCAATTAAAATACTTGGTCAAAATGATATTCGCAAATTCGTTAATTCGTTTAATTCGATCGCGGATACTCGCCCGCACGGAGGAGGAATAAAATATTTCTGGTGAAATTGGGTCGGCCACATTAACGAATGAATTTCCTGTTTCGTTACACGGGACGGACAGCCGGCTTTACCCGGGGTTTCCTATCGATATTATCAGCCGTCGCCGCGCGCGGCGCCGTAATTGAAATTCGCGGCGCGCAATTAAATGCGAATAAAGATTAAGATATCCGCCCCTCTGCGCACGCTGTATCCGAGGGAGCCCGACGAACGTTTCACCGCTTCTCTCGTTCGGCCACTAATAGGATCTAGGTTCCGTGTCTGTTTATACGCGGCAGAAAAAAAAAAGAAAAAAAAAGAGCCAGGAGGAAAACCGCCGCGGTATTATCGAACATGGGAGAAATCGCGAGACATAATGACGCAACGCGTCCAGAGAATCGCCGTAAAATTCGCCCTTTCCCCGCCCCCTTTCTCCGCGCCGTTAAGTGCAATTTATAATATCGGATGTGCTCAGGTAGCGCATTATTAGAACACGTAACGAGCTAACGACAGGATTAGTGAGCGGCCGACGAAGCGATCGCGATACACCGATCGGTAGCGTTACGCGCGCGCGCGCGCACGCGCGATGCACGGCGAGGAGAGACCGCGGGCGGGCGTTCGCGTTGGGCGAACGACCGGCTCTGCGTGAAAGTGAAAAAAATGACGACGATTCTGCGATGCGTGAATTATAGCCCCGCGTTGCACGCGGGTATCGGGCTCTTTCCTCCACGCCGAGATGCCGCGCGCACTTCCGGTTTTCTATCGGCGCTCTTTGGTAATAACGAGGAAGAAAGTTTCCCGCGTCGACGCGCGCCTTTTGTATTTCATTTCATTCAGCGGGAGGGGACGGATGCGCGCCTTTGTTTCCGGACTGACTTTGCATAATCACGATTTCGTAATTGTTTCCGGAAGAAGACGCCGCTACCAATTACAACGTATCCACGAGGATTGTTTCAGAGAGTAAATTCATACCTGGCTGCTCTTCGCGAATCTTTTTCTTTTACCTTTTCAACGTATGTATTCGTGTCAAAAATTACTCGTTTTTGACTTTAAATTGAACGAAATCGTCCTGTGTTTTTCACTCCGGTTATTTTTTTTGAGAGAGAGAGGACGACGCTTTTACGGCTCGCCCGTGACAAAAGGGAGGCCCAATCGCGTAAACTAAATTTCTGCGCCATTATCTACTTCCGCGTCGCCGACGTTTCAACCCCCGTTCCAGACTTGTTCGCGAAGGAAGGCGGGAAGGATGGCAGGGGGACAGGGGGGCGGGGTGCTCTCTTATCCGTCGTCGCTGCGGCGGGTGTCGGTGGCGCGACTGTGAAGCGAAGGCAATTATCGTAGCGAAACTTGAACGTGGCAACGCGCGCCCCGAGGACGACGGGGCTCTCGGCTTCGATGTGTGGGAGTGAGTGTTTGGCGTCTGATACGACGGGTCGGGTCCCCGGGGATTCTCAGGGACTCAAACGGGACTATCCCGCGCCGCCGCCTCTCTCTCATCACAGTTAATTACCAGTCCTCGGCCGCGCGCTCGAGAGCAGGGTCTCTCTTTCCCGCTCCGTTCACCTTAGTCCCTTAGTCCTTCCTCGAGCCCATATCGCTCCCGCCGAGCGAGCCACCCTCAATAATCCACGTACCGTTTCCTACTGTTCTGGAATCTCTTTTTTCCCCTACAGCCGAAAGTAATTTTCGCGAGACGCGCGATCGATTTATCAGGCCTCATTACGCGATAACGGAGCAACCCTTTCTTTTTCGCAAACGATTTTATGCACGCTAAACCGACAAGAGAGAGAGATTTTTTTTTAAGTTATCTTTCCATTGTGTCACGAACACATATTATTAAAAAAATATTATCTTGTATCAGTTCTGCTACAATCGTTCTCGAATTGCAATAAAAGTTTCCATGCAATTATTATTAGACTTTCCCTCGGTAGATACGCATCTCGCGCGAGGCGCATTCCTCAACGCGCGAAAAATACCGTACGGGATATCTCAGCGGGGGTTTTTTCCCCATACGGTTATAATGGACTCGATTCGCGCAGGATACAGGGCGCGTCAGGCATGGCGGGACAAAAATGTAGATTCGTACACATTTCAGCGGTGTCACACGTATAGACGTTTTAAGAGTTACGTGCAATCAATAGGGCGACAGGGAAACCCCCGTGGGAATCCAAGCGAGCGAATCGTAGCGGGATTGAACGCTTGAAATGGAATAATATCCAATAATCTGGCAGCCGAGAGAACGGGATAAAAAGGGACGTTTTATCGGGGCATCGCAGCATCCAACCAAGCGGTATCCGACCATTTCCGCCAAGCTCTCGGAGCCATTTCGCCCCGCGTTCTCGGCTAGCCGGCAAAATTAATTATTGATTTCGGATACGCGCATTCAGTCGCGGCGGGCGGCTTTTAATCGAAAACGAGCCATCCGTCGCACACCCATTTCCGACCGCTACGAATTTAACAACGGATCGATCTGGAAATGCCCGTTGTGTTTACACTATTACTGCCGCTCGTGGCAAAGGGCCCCTCCATTCGCGGCTATTCGTTTCAATCCCTTTTTACGATAATTTTCAAGGTACTCGACACGTACGGCAGATCAACTATTAAGACTTCGTTAGAAATCTTGGTTTCAACGGAGTCAAACTAAACACATGAAATAATTCAAGCACGAGGCAACGTGCGCATGTTAAATATCAATTTGTTAATAATAGATATGTGACTCCTCGAATTAGTTTATTTTATGTTTATCTATTAGATATTCACACAGATTGGCAAAATAGTGAGGTAGGAAGACGAAACAATATGTAGAAATACATACAGAATAGGCAGGACAAGGAACGTAGGAGCATCTGGAGAAAGGTATCTGAAGCTGCCTTATTAATTGACCGTTTATCCATTAAGGGAAGTAGAGGGCTGGGACAGAGGGTTTGACAGCAAGTTACCAGCTGTTGGTCTCGCGATATCTTCTCCCGACGCGGCGTTTAAGTCTATTAGCTAAGTGAGGAAAACGGGGAAAATATTTAATTTCATTATACATATTATATGTATAATATAATATATAGTAAAATTTCAGTATAAAATTTCAGTATAAAAATAACCACGAAAAGCGTATTAAAGGGATACAATATGAAAGGGTACAAATCCACGCTCCATGTTTTCTCTTAATATTTTTTTTAAACATGATTAATATATTTTGAACACACATTTATATATATGTACAAATGTGTGTCTGGGAGACAAGTTGTCCCGTTTCGTACGCATTTTTTTAACATATTCTTTGATCAATACCGACATTTTCTTAGTAGTTTCTAAAACGATGTAGTACGCGCGTATACGCCCATATACTTCAATTAAATTTTACTTCTACACTGAAATTTTTTAAAATAAAATTTCAATATAAAAATAATCGAGGAAAGCTTATCGAAGGAACGCGATAGGAAAGGATAGTCCACTCCGCGTTTTCTCCCTTATTTTCTTTTTAAAGACGATAAAGGAAAATATTAAATATACAGGAATAACGTATCTGCTCCGTGTGTAAAGTGAAGATATAATTTATATTTGCAGTACACGCTATTCCATTACGAAATTTATTTTCTCTCCGCGATCTGTACCGTGAAACCGTTCGTTACATCTCATACACTCGTATAGCTCTTAAGCAATATCTTTAATCACCTCTTGTAATTCTGCGTTGCAAAACATGTGAAACAATTGTCCAGGCGTCATTGTCATCACTTCGATATTGGTGTCGTTCAGTTTCTCTTCCATTACCTGCTTCAATATTGTCAGCGCAGCTTTCAACGCTTCCTTGAGCGTCATAGACTGCAACAATGATTCAATTAGCGCGGTTTCGACAAACATGATTTATCTTTGTTCAATAATAAGGCAAGGTACCTTATGATACACTTCTTGAAGATTTTGTTGAGCTCCTTCGCTACCGGATCCTATAGCTTTTGCATCAAACTGAACAAAAGTACCAGACGGATCCATGTGATACAGCTGTGGACCTTTCTCATCGATTCCAGCGAATAACATTGCTACGCCGAACGGCCTGGACATGGCAGTGCCGTCATCGTCGCTGTCGCCAAACTGTATAGCTAAATTGGATACCGCTTGAGCAGTAGACTCCACTGTCATTCTTTCGTTGTAGACAAACCAATGATTCTGGCATTCGACCCGAGCTCTGTCAATCATCGTCCGCGAGTCGGCCATCAAGCCGGACGCCGCACATCCTATGTGTCTGTCGATTTCTACAATTTTTTCTACAGTCGACGGTTCCATCAGGGAGGAAGTAATACGCTTCTCCACTGCCAGAACGACTCCCTCCGTCGTGGCGATTCCGATGGCGGTCGAGCCGAGCTTTATGGCTTCTATGGCGTACTCGACTTGAAATAATCTCCCCTCCGGCGAGAAGGTGTTTACGCCACGGTCGTATTCGGAACGCGTTAGAAACATCTAGGACAAAGATGAAAAGATTTTCAAGTTAGACATAGACGACCAGTGGTAATTAACGTCAGTGTTTTCTTGACCATACATAAATTTTCTGTATTATTAAAAATGCCAAGTATGGTCAAGAAAACACTGGACGTTGTTGACTATTTATGTTACATTCGGTTATTGATGTCCAAATTGTCGAGAGAGCGATGTAAAATTGAAACGACGATCAAACGTTCAACGTTTCCTGCGCAAACTAAATTTGAGGTTAGGCGGTCACGAAAAACGACACAAATAGCTTCGACAAAGTTACGAAATGAAGATGCCTGCTGTTGCACGCAATTAAAGTGCGTAATGGAACGTTTGAGTGTCAGTAGAGACGAACAATGGCATAAACTGACAGAATAACAATCCGAGTAGGTCGGTTAACCAAGAATGACATGGCAAAACGAAGCCGAGCGTTCCGCGAGCGAGACTGAAGCGCGACGGCAAACGTAATATTTAACGTAATGTGCTTTCGAACTGAATTACATAAGTTTACCTTAAACGCTTTACTTTTGTCAAAAGCAGACGTGAAAGTACAGAATGCCGACACTTGTCACAAACGCCAGTCACGGAGAGTCCGCGGACAGTTGAACGCGATGGACGCGATGGAGCAGCAGTAGCGTAACGTTAGAGGGGTACCTTAAGCCCCGTTTCTAACGGGAGACGCAGACCAGGCTTAATTGGTCAATTCAGTCAGACACATAAGAATTAACTAATCATAGGCATTCGCTCATACTTGACGCCGACTGAACGTATTTTTAAATAACTCCTATATGCAATCGTTTGTATTTCATATGTAGACGTTTGTAGTGCAATTAGAAAGGTTTGTGAGTCATTCGTTTGTTTGTAATTAATTAATTATTTTTCCACCGTATACTTAGCGCCAATAGATAAATTAAGCCCGCTGCAGACGATGCTATTTTTCCTGCTGGATTGCTTGCGATTTACTAAATTACTAGGAATCCTGAGTGCTGAATGGTGCAACGATAGTAATTTATTAGATCGCAAGCAATCCAGCAGGAAAAATAGCATCGTCTGCAGCGAGCTTTAGATAAAGTTTTTATATGGAATCGTATTTCGAATGAAGACGTTTGTAGTGCAGTTAAAAAGGTTTGTGAGTGATCCAGATAATTTTAATTAAATATTTATTAAATAGAAGTTAGCCGGATTCAAAATTTCATTTATTTCCTATCTATGGCCGGTATTCATAGTCGATTCTTATTTCAAAATCATCTTAAGTATTGTCTTAAGAGGCTAATACGGCTCTGTGATTGGTTAAAAACACATTAAGAGTATACTTAAGACGATCTTAAATATAAGAACTATGAATACCGGCCTATGATGCTGAATGATTTAAGACATAAAGCCTATCACACAATGCCAGGCAACAGGCAACAGGAACAGGGAATAGAATTTTTGACGCGTTGGATTCGTCGGAAATTTTCCTTCAACCAATCCAACGCGTCAAAAATTCTATTCCCTATTCCTGTTGCCTGTTGCCTCGCATTGTGTGATAGGCTTAAGAATTGCTTGTCACGCACTGCTTTGCGACTGCTCAAACGACCATCGATACAACTGTACGACCATTGTAGACAGAACCGAGAATCATTGTAGCGGAGGCTTGAGAGTATACATAAGACCATCTTAAATATAAGAACGGACATGAATACCGGCCTATGGTTTGCGACTCTCACCCACTCTCAGTCTCTCACCCGCCTGTTCATGCGTCCATTTGCTGACTCACAGGATTGACATGTGCTCGCTCGAGGATTCGTACAACAAATTAACGAACAGCGACGACTTTGTGGAAAATGAGAACAGACATGGACTCGCAAAAATTGAAAACAATTATAAACGAGGAGGATTGGGATCAGTTACTGCAAATTGTCAAACCGAAGTATTTCGCCAGACAGGAATCAGAGTACGTATGAGACAACAATGTTGGTAATTATGTACTTTAGGGTCCGATATCGATGTATATAGGCTCAATAGACGCGTTTTTCAACGAGAAATAACTTTTTCCTCAGGCAAAATTGTCGCTCTGTCTCGCGAAGCGAGATATTAAGCGTTAAAGTTGTTAACTGATCAGGTTAGAAAACCTGTCACACCGACGGTATGCAGCGACTATTCTCTGCCTTAATAATGACACTAATTTAATCTAAAGCATAGATTCATAAAGAAATTAGTGTATTTTATTAAAGCAGAGAATATTTACAGTGAATACAGAGCAAGCGCATTGGCCAATTTTGAAGAGGAACCATGAAACAGGTTTTATAATAAATTCAATATTTATTACAATATAAACATTTCTATATCATACAGGCTAGTAGATTTTTTAATTCAGCATTTAATAACAGCACGCTTTGTTGACACCTGCGATTAAGTGCAGTAAATGTAGTAATCCCAGTCGCTGCATATCGTCGGTGTGACAGGTTTCCTAACCTTGATCAGTTAACAACCTGGTCAGTTAACAACTTTAACGCTTAATATCTCGCTTCACGAGACAGCGACGATTTTGCCTGAGGACAAAGTTGTTTCTCGTTCAAAAAACGCGTCGAGTGAGCCTTTATACATCGATATCGGAGATGAGGAACCGGAAGTACATAATTACCACAATGTTTATCGGTTGCCAATTGACAGATAAGTATCGCAAAACAATTATTACACGATTATTACGTTTTTTTCAGATTAATGCCCGACGCAAGGATCCTGGCACAGATGTGTCATGCGCTCGTGAGCGAAGCTACTCCAGATACGATTAGAATTTTGTGCCTGAAGTGTCTGGGGAACTCTTGTCTCGATAGTTACAAACACAAACAACATACGATAGACAACGTGGAATCTGTTAGATACAGGATAAGTTTATATGATAAATTAGTCGAGAGCGACCTGTGCGAGCAAGGCGACGGCTGTGATTATCCCCATGATTCTCACTTTCCTTACGACGGAGTGACAGAATGGACTGTGGATTACATTAAGTCTCGTGGCGAGTCCACGGACTGCTCGATTGACAGTGAATTCGATATCTTTAGGCTCAGCATTCAGTTTTTAAGCAATTTATTTACGTACGCGTGTCCGGATGTAACATCCGCAGACAGTGTTATGAGATCTTTAAGTTGCGATAACTTGAAACAAGCCGTATTGTGAGTTTACATATATTTCTCATAATCTTTCCTTATGTTACGTGTTAGAGATTGTTCTCAATTAATTGTTTAATTATTTTTAGGAGTTGCATGCAGTCTGATCGCGGATCTCTCGCCAGCGCGGCTTGCATATATGTGCACAATGCATTAAAAAAATTATGTTACAACTATTTCGCAGATGAGAGAGATCTATGTTTACAGTTGCTAAAACCTATCAAAGAAGGTTTTACGTCTGCGACGGATGCACTGTTACTCCTATTACATCGACCGAATGTATTTAAAGACGTGTACGATAATGTAACTACGAGCGAAAAGTTAGATTTACTTGAAATTGTCTACAACGAGATGCAGAAATCCTGGCAATCCGATCTCGATGCAGTGCTCACGGTGGACCAGGCTGAGTTTCTGGCGCTAATATTTTGCAGAAAGAGCGATTGCATTTTAAAGACCGTGGACACGTACGTGGACAGCGTAGATCCCATGGAAATTATCCTTATTCTTAATATCCTGGGACTTTTTACTACGCAATGCAAGATCGTGAAGGATGCCCCGTTGCTTATCAATTGTAAATGTAAGTACAATCAGCCTCCCGGCACAAACACATGGGATGCAGAAATGATACGAGTGCATTATATTTACAGACCTTCTGTTGTCCTTACACATGGCGGGAAAGGAAAGGAATAATTATTTCACTCCAATAACGAATTTAAGCCAAGTGGCACCTAGTGCCCGCGGGAAAGCTGCAGACGTAAAAGCGAGCGCTACCGAGGCATCCGAAGCAACAGCGGCAAATGATCCACAAGACCATCCCGCGTATGGCTTTAAGGCGGGACTAATACGAGTCATTGCGAACATAGTGCATGAGAACAAACGGTGTCAAGATCTGGTAAGTGCGACTACATGAAAATTTTCATATTAAATATTAGAAGAAACAAGTTCTTTTAGTTCTCCACGCCGTGTGCGTCATTTAGCATTTAAATATTTATATATAGCGTTTAGATACGAGAGCCGGGATTCGAACCTGGGACTCTCATTATCATCATCATCGTCATAACCGGTTCTACCGCCCCAAGTGGGTGTTTTACGGTGAGGGGTTGTTAGCCTCTCGCCAACCCCCTTGTCGGAGGATAGGGATATGTGTGGCAGGATACTCTTGGTAGTTTTTTCGGACGCTACCTCCGAGAAAGAGGTGGCGTCCGAAAAACCGGCGGTATCCGTAGGTGGATTTAAACTCGGATCTTCTCGTTCATTTGTTTACTAAGCAGCGCACATTTCTCTGCGCCACACGGGACCCTCGTTATATCATTACTAATCGTCCGCGTTCGCACAAAGTCACGTAATCTCAAGGAAGAAGTGAATGTGAAATTCACAATATTTATCTGGCGTCGATAAGAAACGTTTCTTCGATCCTTCGATTCGGGTATGCCGTTAAAGTGCGCCTCGTGGTCGCGAGAAGAATTAGAACGGCGAATTCCGAACGTGACAATCGATATATAGTAAAACATAAAAAATAGGCAAGAAAAAGATAACTAAGATAGCACACGCATATTCAATTATTATAAGCATTATTGCTATTTATGACCAATTCTTTACTTCTTTCTTTTAATTACAGTTCTCGAATTCTTCCTTTTTATCGCAAACAGATGCGTGCACGTATATTTCCATCTACGCGGCGCGGTACTTTTGAGTTTTCAATTATTCACAGCATAAACGTGTCTAGCGTATATATTTTTTTCGAACTTCCTATCCACAGAGTAATTAATCCTTTCGGATAAATAGCATGTTATAAACTTGACAAAAGCGCAGGTACTTTAATAAAAGTCCGTACATTCAGGCCGTACGTTACAGAAGCACTCGGTGTATCTTAAGCTTCGCACGCGAGGAAAAAGAATCACCGTAAGCGCACGCTTGGCTGCCGTTTGAGTTCCGACCACACAGAACGCTCGGGCGTCGCGTTGTTCCGTACACTCAAAAGGATTAAAATTATACCCCGTGAATGATGATAAGTTATTTTCAAGCGCGGCGAGAGTAGGGAGCCTCGACAGAGTTGCAAAATATAAATTCGGCCTTTGTTGCGCGCCACGCTTGTGCGCGCTATGCGTGTGTACCGGTAAATCGATATTTCTCTCCCGCTGATTACATCTCTCGCGCGCGCGGATGGTACGGGAATACACGTGAACAAAAGGTACGCAATAGTACGCGGGCCCGTCGTGTCGGACAAAGCGAAATTAAGTGTTCCATCTGACTGGGAGATGCAGCGAGATGATCGAAATCTGATACACACGCTGCGAATTTAGGATCCGCGAGATGACAAAGTTTGCGCCGCGTGCATATTGACAGATAAATAAGTTATGATGTATCAGAGCGGAAACGCGAGCCCCTGCGGGCGGAATATTAATTCAGTCTCCTAGCATCGAGGATGACACGTGTGCATCGCCGTAGTCACACGACAGTAGAATTGTACATCATTTTTTTGCTGATCACATCCGTTGTAATAAATCTTGTTGCCGCAGAAATATATTTAATAAAATTTATATGGCTTAAATGTGATAAACACAAATTTGAAGGAATAAAGGACTAAGGTTGGTATTCATAGTCGATTCTTATTTCAAAATCATCTTAAGTGTTGTCTTAAGACGCTAATATGGCTCTGTGATTGGTTGAAAACACATTAAGAGTATACTTAAGATGATCTTAAATATAAGAACGGACTGTTGTGATAATGAATACCGACCTAAGAGCCGTGACAGGGTGTTAATGTCTAAATATTTCAGATTTTTAAATTTATTGCGAAGAATATTACCTTAGCCAGGGTTTAAACCTGAACCTCCCTTTCTAGACGGGCGTCTCAACCAATTCGACCATCGAGGCATATGGAAACACATCTCGCAATAAACAGTCTAATGTCGATTCCCGAATGCCACCTATCGTGACAGTATTCGAAAAACGAGAACTGCGCGCCGACTTAAATCGTCAGACTTAAAACACAGTACAATCATCCCTACAATGTATTCCCATTATTACTCTCCTACCCGAACAAATAATTAAATGAAAGTAAGAAACGCGTGTTACATCCGCGTAATTAATAAACTTTGTATGGCTCAAATGTGTGATGAACACAAATTTGAAGGAATAAAGGTCTAAGAGCCGTGACAGGGTGTTAATGTATAAATATTTCACATGTTTCAATTTATTACGGAAAAAGAAATATTTAACTCAATCATCGCTCAATCGCGTATGTGTGTCAAAAGCGTTCTTCGTGATTTGCTTCAAAACGTTTTGAATAAAAGAATATAAACACATGATTAATTAATTAAAGATTCTCGATATTAAAATTTAACGAGTTACAAGGAAAGGTGGACTTTGAGAGTCAAACGCGGTTAGTTGTGCGCGAGTTAACGTTACGTAATATTTAATTAATAATTTAACACGAATTATATAAATCGATTTAAAATGTGTATCGAAGTATTTGTTAGTCGTTAAAAAAAATATCACGATATAATGTGATTCCAGTTTCGCGAGATAGATGGAATTCCAGTGCTTCTGGATTGTTGCAACATAGACGCGAGGAATCCGCGTAAGTGTAATTTTACTTTACTTTTGTCATATCTCTTTGTTTTCGCTGTTCATTTCATTAGCGACAATTTCTATGCAGTTATCTTACAATGGACCATTCTCGCTGTGAGGAATCTATGCCAGGGAAATCCGCAGAATCAGGAAGTAATTAGAAATTGTAAAAGAACGGGGGTGCCAGGTAATCCTGTGTTGCAAGAGATGGGATTGACTCTGCACGAGGACACGGATGGGAATTCGATTCGTATCGCCCCTCTCCGTCGCAATTAGGAAGATTTACTGTTTCACGAGAACGCGAGATCGCTCTCGGTGATCAATCAATTCGATAATTATCAAACTATTACTTGTTTATATCGATAATATCCTCGATAAGATACAATGATTGGTTTATGCATAACTAATTATTGGTATGCATAAATAATTATTATTCCAATTAGCTCGACTGAAATGTATCCTGCTGTACCACTCGCTAAAAAAAAAAGCGACACCGCAATTACAACGATTTCTGCCATTAGACGAAATACGATGTGGTACGGCATAGAGAGATATTTTATCTACACTCACGGCCGAGTGATTTACGATACAATAAAAGCTGCTGTGAGAGTTCACGGTCTATTAGTAATTGCTAATGTAAGTATACAACTGCTATCGTTGATCATTCAATTGCAATGCGAAATGGACTGTGTCTTTTTTAAATAACGAGCTCCCGTCAAGATTTCATCGGGGAAACGATGACAATTTTTGACGGTGTGCTCTGCAAGCCGATAAATAAATTCGCAATAAACGTCTGCGTTCGTGTTTTTCAGTTTCCTCTCACTCGGAATTGCTCAAGACGGAGACACGGAGATTCCTGTTTAAGAATTATAGAACCTCCAATTACGCTGTCAAGAGACGCCAGTGTTTTAATAAATAATTTCTCTATTAATTAATTGCACGTGTCTTAATTCCCCCCCGGGTCTTCGTGATTCCCGTTTCAAGACGATAATTTCTCACGTCCGTGGTTGTTTCTCGTCGCGGACAATTTTACGATGAGGAACGGCGACGTCGTCCTGCGCGTAATAGGTGTTTATTAATGTCATCCACGAGGCGCGGGCAGGCGAGCGAGCGAGCGAGCGAGAGGAATCGCGTGGTGGGTGAGAGATCCGCCTGCGCGTACCAACTTGTGCGTTAATTATACCGGAAGTTTCGAAATACACGAGGGACAGTTACGTTTTCCTTTCTAATGGAATTCTCCGGACGCGGTAACGGCGCGGCGTTTCCAGCATATCGGTACGGTATATCGGTAAATAAATAATATTAGATAATTATCTCTCGAAGGGCATGCACTCTGTGCGTTCTATTTAGCCGTGATACGCGACGGCATGCGCGTCTGACGGGATTTACGAAATGTAATAATAGGTTTCCGGACGTAATACGCGATCTAATCGAGCATGACCAATCGCTGATTTATGGCGCGGTTTCAGTGAAGAATAAGATTACGGATAGTTTGCGGCGTATGCATAAGAGTCTTGCTTCTGTCCCATAAATATTGTGTGTGTGATCGAGTGACAAATATGCACGTTGTAATGTATTATACAATCGTTCCTTTTCCTCGTTAATTCCCGCTGCAACAAAGAACGGCAGATTCATATCGCGCGAGTTATATTTTCGAGAGGTCTTTGTAAGACCCCCCGAGTCCTCGATAAGATACCTCGAGTTTGCACGGTTTCGCGTATGAAAGTAGACCGTATACCGTACGCGTCCCGCGTACGAACGTTCCGTAAATTACTTGTGATTTAAATATCGGCCCATCTCGCGCACGATCAATCTTAAATCGCGCGTAATGGCGAGCAGTTAACGCATCAATTTATCAGTTAATTATATACGTGGTTAATTGCCACGAGTAATTATTTCCGCGAGCGAGAGAGAGGGAGGGAGGGAGGGCGCTCCCCGTGCATCTCGGCAGCTCGCACACACAGGAGAGACACAGTTCGAGGAAACGAGATGAAATTCCTGCCACGTGAGCCACTTTGATCGTGCGGTCAACGTATCGATAGAAGTGACTCCCTGTGATCCTCTTGGGAAGGCATTCGAAAGCCGAAGCCAAAACGCAGCACGGAACAAAGAACGCTGGAAATATGAAGGACACTCTCAACTATAGTGAATATTAACCCTTTCATGACCGAATTATTTCAAGTTTTTTTCTTAGAAAAAGAATGCACGAGTTCTTTTAAATTTTGTAAGTGGCATCTATAAGATTTATATGTCCTTGTGGTCATGAAAGGATTAACATCGCTTTTTGTAGCTCTCCAAATTTTCCTTTAATCCGCTTATATTTTTCATGTTGTTCTTAGCCCTCGTTAATCCCCACTTTATTTCTGCGGCGTATAAATGAAATATCATTTTAATTGCGCCAGCAACGATATTCTTGTTCTTAATCGCCGTTGAAATAAAATCAGAACTGAGGAGAGAGGTAAGAAATAAAGAGTTTGATATTCCGTGCTAAAAATAGGGAGGCTTAATCGTACGTGAGAAAATCTCCTCACTTTTTTTGTAATCATAAACTTTGCAACAGGATGGGATCCAGCTATGAACGAACCGCCTACTTGTAAGAATCGATCGGAGTAATTAATTGAATTCAATGCAATACTGCGTCCCGTAAAAGAAATATCTTCCAGCGCGTCGAGGATTTCGTCGATCCGCCAACCTTATTAATATTCATAGACGCTGACGAGGGAAGCGTAAAAAGCGCTTGGTCGTGCGTGAGATCGCTCAGGTGCGTAAATTCTGATCGGCTCCTTGATAATCAACTCGTTGACGCAATAAATTCCGGCGAAAGATAGTCGAACAGAAAGAGAGGGAGTAACTGAGAGCGGGGCATGGTCCAAACTCTAGATAATGTTGTCTGTTTGTTTCCAATTATGCTTGTATTTCGAGTTATACAAATCGTTTGTCATAATAATTGCCAATACAGGCGTAGATTGTGGGTTTCTCTTCCCTCGCTCCTTTATTAAAGCCTGAGAAATGCTAAGAAATTTTTGTGGTCAACATTTTGAAGACCATTCACGTAACCTTTTTAAATTGCTATGAATGAATAAGCATACAAATGTCGTGTACTGTACTAATAATATTCTCTCTAAAAGTTAATCAGTGGATTATCACTGAAAACAGTGAATGTTCACTGATTCACAGTTATAGCACAATTAATTATTCAGTGCTATACTTTCAACTGTTTTCAGTAATAATGCACTGATTGACTTTTAGAGAGTGCGCCTACATAATAATAGAATAAAAAATATATTAGAAAATTAAAGGAAGTTTCCTATTTGCACTTATCCAATTTGTGAATATAGAACTAATCTTATTGTTAAAACATTCGGTCTTTCATGGCTCTTTGCGTTAGATATTTAATTAAAAAAATTAAGTTAACAGGCTATTGTAGGATAAAAATTTTAACTACATTTACGATCTACTCTCTCTGAAGGTGACATCTAATTTAATTTTTTCTTTTCTTAATTTTTAATTAAAAAGTAATTTTCTATTTTTCTCTATAGAAAAATAAATTATAAAAATGTCCTATTTCAAATAAATGGCCTTTTTTATGTTAAGATCCTTCTTTTAGTCTGATATTCATGAACATGCGTCTCCAGGATAAAAATGCAGATTGACAATGAGAGAGAAAATTGAAGAAAATGCTCGATATCGATAATCTGATAAAATATAACACAGGGAATCGAATGTGTAGTGCTGTCCCGATTTGTTGAGCATTCATCTTCTTCTCACGTGAAGTCTTATGTAAATTTGTAAAGACAGAGAGATTTACTGCATCGCCGTGATGAATAGATCGCCCAGTGAAGAGATAGATAATCGATCTAGTAAACGAACTAGATTCTCGTATTAATAGAGGCTGCAAATTGGACCGACCCGCGTCGGCGCCTAATAAGTCGCGGATTCTCTCCGCGATACGGGGCTTGAACGGAGCCTCGCGCGCGCCTACGCGTGATTTCTCTCAAAGAACCCCGACACGGCGATACATTTCCTATGCCCTCGTATACTTTACATACATCGTATCCGCTGCGCATTTGTACGAAAGAGTCGAATCGACGTAAAGGGTCATGCACAATGCGCCGCCGAGGGTCGATCTTTCCTAGAACCTTAAGGAACGGCGTCGTAAAATGAGACTAATCCAAGCTGAGCTTCGGGCGAGACCGAATTTCCCGTCGAAATGTATTTTTATGTCGAGAAAGTTAAAAATTTATTACAACGGCGGTAACGCCGAATATCTGTTACCATTCGAGAGGACCGGTGAAGAATCGCGTAGGAAAGTGACAACGCGGATGGTTAATTATAAACGTAAAGTGGGCTCGCGCACTGAGAGCATGCAGACCGCGCGATATATTTTAACGACTGCCGCACACGCGGTACGTGAGCCGTAAATGTTACGCCGAGCCAGAGATTCGTGTAATAGCCACTAAAAGCGAGTTTCGTCCCTTTATGGATCGTAAAGGCAGGGATATTTGGAACGGGGGAAACCACTGCTCAAATTGACCCGACTCACAGTTAACTAAAAGAGCGCGAGGCACGATCGTGTCTTAGGTACGCCGGAACGATCCCCGAAAGGGTACCATTGTCAGCACGATGAGTTCCTTTTAGCAAATGGGATTTTAAATCCTTCATTACGACATGCGGCACATATCGTACACAAGAAATATTACAATCTATATTATTATTACATCTATATATAGATGATCCTTATTTATAGGTTGTATGTATATTAACAATAATTGTTATTATAATAATTACTATCATTAATATTAGGGATAAAGTTTCGAAAAGTACATACCCCCGATTTTTTCGAAACTCGGTATTTCTACGTATTTTTACGCGCTGATTACGAATATCGTAGTGAAAATTGGCAACTACTTGAGTTTCACGGTAAAAACCATGAAAAACTCATAAAAATTAGTTTTTTACGTTTATCTCGGTATACATACATATATATGTATATAGATTGGTAGAAAGTGACATTAATCATATAATCGCTACACGTTAACATTTTGGCTTTATACTTACAATTAGCCAGCCTCAGAACAAAACAATATTAATTAAAACAAACTGAATAAATAAAATACGCTAATACGTCAATAATATTGAAATGAATGAAATCTACTTATTAATATATGCCACACGCGTATTGAGCTGTTGAAAACAATCGTATAAATTCCAACAACATCTAAAGAGGAGATATTCAAAGAATGGTTGAAATATTTGTAACAACGTTAATGAGCGCCGCTAATTGCGCGCTTAATTAATCCGGCTAACCGAAAATATAGTACGCGCATTGTCCGAGGGATGAAAAGTCCGCTCTAATTACCCCGTGTAAACGGAGCCGCGCGTCGATTCCTCGAGAGACGGACGCGCGACGTCGCTCGTAAACAATGACAATAGGGCCTGCCGTCTGCGAGAGAACGGGACGCTGCCGATGCCGGCGAGCCCTCATGATGGCCGCCTGCGATCCTGGCCCGTCCGTCGAGTTAATTAATCGCGCCGAACGATCTCCATTGAAACGGAATCTGGATAAATTTTCCGTGCTGATGCTACCGGGCTAGCAATGTGGGTATTATCTTTACGACCTCTTCAAAGAGGAGATGAGACGTCGGGGCGGCGAGGCGCGAGGGGAACACGCATGCGCGCGATACGGCCGCTGGAAACTGTGTGCACCGAAACCGGAGAACCTGTTATCAGAGAAACAGTGGCCTGGGAACTTGGTCCAATTATCATGCAGGCGAGACACCGAGGTCCCGTCTGCGAGACGCGTCGTCCTCGCCGCTCTTAATTCCGACTCGCTGGAGAGCCCTCGTCCGCGCGCGTGGCGTTCACCGTGCTGGATCCGCGACTCTCCACGTACCCACCGTTCCGGCTTGTGGACTGGAGAGGTGTTCGTTAGACGCCCTGCATACAGGAATCAACTCTGGCAACTATGATTGTCCGATCTAGCTATCCACGTCGACGGGTCTCCCTCTACGTTCTCCAACTACGTTACACGGCGTAGATAGAAATAATAGCTAAGGTGACGACGCGTTTTGCGTCGCAACGTGTTCTCGATACGCAGTGTTTTCGTCGTCTGCTAAACGTAAAAGTGTCAGGACATGTTAAAGACAGCGTGCGGCCCGTCGCGAGATTAAATGCAGACGCAAGTCATCCGAGAATGACTTCGAGAAAATGCGTCTCACCATTATTTCTTCGCGACGACGCGGATGGAAATTGCAGCGTGACGTATCGAAGGTGTTACGTGTCGATCGAGCAGGACGCGATAGCCCGCTCTCCATCCTCGGAAAACTTTCGACATTCATGTGACGTATGACTGTGGAAGAGGCGATGCACACGGGTGATACTCTTCGAGGAGAAAGCGCCGCCGTTATTATCAAACGAGACCAAGTGGCCCAATTTGTACCGCGCCGTTAAGGAGCGGACAGAGATGATTTATGGAAACTCTGGTAGACGCGCTAATTGCCTGCCGATGTGATTCATCGGGCGGTGTCGTTCGCATATCCGAGCACGTCGGTCGCTTTGTGAGGAAGCGGGCCTGAAGTAATTTCATCGATTGCGATGGAGTATGCAGCTGCTTAATTACGATACAGCATAATGAGGGAGATTCGATGGTTGCTCCTGAGGTAAGACCAGCGCTAAAGGGTATTTCTGAACCGCCTGTGACTTCAAGTTTCGCACGTTTATTGCGCATCGAGCGACGTATATCATACTTATCTAGAAATTTGTTATATTTATTAATTTTATTTATTACTAATGTATTATATATTCATCGATCCCAACTGGCAAATTTAATATTCGCGGTTGACGAATGTATGTACATTAAGACCGAATCAGACTAACGATTGCCGACTCGAATTGACTTGGGATTGGCGATTGACAATTGTGCTCTAGCCAATGAGTGCCGATTAAATCGTTGCTTTGCTCTCATTGGCCAGAAGACAATCGCCAGTCGCCAATCCCAATCCAATCCGCGTCGACAGTTGCTAGTCTGATTCGGGCTTTAGTTATCTTATTACCGGCGGTCCATGAGAGGTTCAAATTTGTTTATTTATTATTACATTTGTAAATTTATTATGGAAATTTGTTTAGAAATAGAATAGCGCTGATGTTGCATACATTTATAATGAAATTCTCATCATGAATTCATTCAGGGCTGTCCGAGATCGCTTATTATATTCGCAAGAGTAGTCGGATCGAAATGCGTTATCGCGAACGAGCGGCCCGGGGTTCCCTGAAAAGCGTTAAATCAGTTATCTCGAATGCTCGGCTGGCGTCCCCTTCGCGCCGCTCGGCTCCGTGCGGGCGCGCTTGCTTTCGACATCATCATTTTCTCTCGTTCTCACGATCTTTTCGCGTCTTCGCGCTCGTGTTATTCCTCTTTCGATTTCACTCACGTCGTTTACCGTTTCCATCCGTGTGGCGGCTCTTAAAATCATGTATTTCCGTGGCCGGGGTAGGCCGGGCCTTTTTTTCTCCGTTCCCCGAGAGAGTCTCGTTTCGCCGTCCGCCGGTTCTCTTCCCTCTCGCGCGTTCCTCTCTCGTCCCGTTCTCCCCCTCCACTCGAGAGCCCCGGTGTAACAATGGCTGCCCTCTAATTATCGGAAGACCGCGGCACTTTAAAAAGATCCCGAGAGCCCATCACGAGATTCCGTTTCGTTCGCTCCTTAAAATTTCTCTGCCTCCCCCCCCCCCTTCCGTCCTTACGCTCTCTCGTCTTCTCTTTCTCCGAGGCGTCCGAGACGTCGGTAACAAAAACAATCAACGTGGCGATCGTTACTCGTGGAAAATTAGTTTAGTCTCGCGAGCGCACCTACCGCGAACTCGCAACGGCCGTCGATCCTTCGTCGGATCTTTCGGACGTGCGCTTCACAGGCTTTGAGAAATAATGAAAATAATCAAAATATGTATATTCGCGTCCGGGAGTAGTTAATTTAAGGCACAACGTCCTGAAAATTTCTCTCCTTATCCCTGATTATAAACATGTCAGTTTGCAGACCAGTAATTTCTGTTATGTTATTAAGGATATACTCGACGATTGCTCGTTATTATAAAATGCAACTCCCCGGTCACCTAAGATGTCCACGTCGATGTTGGAGCTTTCCAGCATCGCCACGCGAAAGACGATCTCGAGTGCCGCCAGTCGGCCAAGTGCGAGATCATGACGGCGCTTTCCGGTCGGCGAGAAAGATCGTAGAAGGGAGAAAAGCCACGCCAATAAAGAGAAAATAGCGGCCGTACGACGAGAAGCGCGAGTCGGAATGGGCGTAACCCAAGGCGAGCTCGCTCGTACCTGTTGCTCGTTGCTTCCTATTAAATACTCTCAGCCGACCCACACTAGAAAGGACTCGCGTCTGCGCTAGTAACCAATGACTGAGAGCGAGAAGAAGTTTTTTTTTCCACCCTTTCCACGCGGGTTCTTTCTCTTCCTCGTTCGGTTCCTTCTTCGGGATCGCCCGAGTCCGTGTTTGCTTCCAAAAGCGACGCTCGCGCTTAAAACCCCGACGCACGTGCGCACGTAACCGCGACGATCGCGCGCCTTTCTGTATGGGAAACACTTCAAAAAATCCACGCTTTCTCGTGGATTCCGCCATCGGTTGATTTATGAGAGCGCGGCGGGAGGTAGGAGATTTCTAATCGCGAAACTCTCACGGTAACGCTTCCGCGATTGAATTTCGCGATACGATTTATAACGCCTTCTTCTAAAAGGTCGAATCTTTTGTCATCGAAATGTCGCTATTAAACCGTAAACTTTTTTTAGAGCAAACTTCTCTATTAGCACCTATTATTTGTCAGTTTTCCTTTTTTTCGTTACATCGCAGACATGGTTGTTCGCCCCATTTTTCGTTCAGATTTCGTCGCTTCCCCTATGCTTTTTTGTCGAGCTATTTTTCTTTAGTGATATCTCTTTGTGCACTTCTATTAGCGGTTTGTATTTCGAGCAGATGTTTGTCGGGTACAATGTCTTCTACATGCTAGCCAGTTTAGGTCTCCCGGCGGCATTGTATCCGCCGAGATATAAAAGATTGGGGTAGGCCCTTTTGGGGCCTTAACAACGACACCGCGAAGGAAACGTGTTTACTCTATTCGGGACGGACCGCGCTATCTCAAGAGCCAGCCGAGATTTTTTAAAAGAGGTTCTTGAAAGAAAGTATTAATGACGTTGCGTTTTTTATATATATTAGGTCTATGCATATGAAACCATCGTTTTTTTTTACAAAAAGTAATCATTTATTTGAAAATCAAAATGTAGGAGTACCTCAATCGAAATCGAAATATTGTCCGTCAGTAGCCACAACCTTAGCCCATCTTTGAGGCAAGAGACGGATTCCGCGCTCAAAGAAATCCTGGTCTTTTGAGGCGATCCATTCATCAAGCCAATTTTTGATTTCTTCATAGGAATTGAAGCGTTGATCCGAAAGTTCGTGCTGCATCGAACGGAACAAGTGGTAGTCTGAAGGGGCTATGTCTGGTGAATACGCGGGGTGGGGTAAGACTTCCCAGCCCAGTGTTTCTAACGTTTCCTGGACTGGTTTCGCAACGTGTGGCCGAGTATTGTCATGGAGCAAAATTACTTTTCCGTGTGTATTGGCCCATTCTTCACGTTTTTCCTTCAATGCTCGGTTCAAATTGATTAGTTGTTGTCGATAGCTGTAACCGTTTGACCAGGTTTCAAAAGTTCAAAATACACGACACCCTTTTGATCCCACCAGATGCAGAGCAAACCCTTCTTTCCATGGATATTCCGTTTTGCTTGCGATGATGATGGCTGGATCAACCCATGATTTTTTGCGTTTGAGATTGTCAAAATAAATCCATTTTTCATCGCCAGTGACGATTCGATACAAAAAACTCTTCCTTTTTTGTCTGGCAAGCAAAATTTCACATATGGTTTTTCGTCTTTCAATGTCTCTCTCTTTCAGTTCGTACGGAATCCACTTTCCTTCTTTTTGAATTTTTCCCATAGCATGTAGACGTCTGGAAACAGTTGCTTGATCAATTTCTAATACCTCTGCAAGCTGTTCTTGCGTTTGACATGAATCTTCATCCAACAATGCTTGCAATTTTTCGTCTTCGAACCTCTTCTCAGGTCTTCCACGTTCTTTATTGTCAAGATCGAAATGACCATTTTTGAAACGTCGAAACCATTCTCTGCACGTTGATTCTGAAAGAGCGTGCTCGCCATAAGCTTCCACAAGCATTCGATGAGCTTCTGCTGCAGTTTTCTTCCACCGACATGCGAAAAGTAAAACTTCCCGCAAATGCTCTTTTTTGGGCATAAATTATGCCATTTTCAATCGACGTAAAAAAACAATTGCTTCAGCGAAATGAAACCTTCGTGAACTGAATACAGATGACAGGTGTCTAACCTAACTTAACCAAAATATTCAGCTGTCAACGCTCATGCAATTCGAAACGAGAGCCATCTATGTGTGAACGATGGTTTCATATGCATAGACCTAATACAAAATTTGTACACAAAATATAAAAATATTTAAGCTGTCCGACTCTACCTAGATTTAGGGCCGTGGATTTTCGATGAATTTAACGATTTAGAGGAAAGCCTAGGCTATTCGTCTTAGTAATTTCGAGTATTTGTACCTCTACCTTTCCGACCATCGATCGCCCGGCTAATAATGGAGTCATAAACGACCTTAACACGGCCGTAGAGTTCCTAGCATTATGCGGCTCGAATTAGAGACTCTCAGATAATTTATCTAAGGGCCGGGTCACGAAAATCCCCGAGCTTCGCCGCAGGTGTAACGTAGCTTGAATTTTATCATGATAATGAGAACAGGACGTCGCTTCATAAACCGCGGTATTGAATACCACGGGACGGAAAGTACGACAAACGCGCGCGTGTGATTAAATAATTTTGTTAGAGTAATTAAAAAAAGTTTCTTTTGCACGTACTTTCATCATCGGGAACTGACTTAAATGCAGTATTTCCCGCGTCCGTGGAAGCTGCAAGAGATCGTAAGGCTCATGGAAACATATTGTCGCGGCATGGGTGACAGCCGTCATTACGTCGCGTTGTCCGTAAAGCGTCGCTAATTAAACGGTGTTATAAATTACCGGCTATGTCGTAAAACTAATGATGTTTCGTTAAAGTGCTACAGCGTGAAAACCGCGCGCTCGAAATTCACGGTGGGCTGTAAACATTTTTACGGTGCTCGTCCGTCACCCGTGCAAGAGAATCCTCGATCGCGCCGAGAGACACGCGAAGTAGCGAACAAGATGAGCGTAAAATGAGGATTCCCGATGAATTCGCAGAGCGCCGGCTTTGTCTTTCGTGTTTTGTACGTACCTACATCCCCGTGACGCGGCATAACTTCCGGCACATCCGCTATCGCCGCCCCGTGATTGTAAAATTATAATTATTATCGGTGGACAATTCTATACGACGATTTATACGTATTCATAGAAAAAATGCAATCCTACGTGAACGAGCCCCTTTTTCGCTGGTTGTCTATCGAATGCCGTCGCTCTGCTCAGCCAGACATGTTTCCTGTCGTTTGTCTGGCTCACACAAATAAAATGATAGAGCGTTATTGTCACGAATCGCACCGTCCGCATCAACGTCGCATTTATACACCACGCTCCGATTTTTACAAGACGAGAACAT